GAGAGAGAGAGAGAGAAAGGAGAAGGTGGACGGTTAACGAATTGGCATTCCGCAAGTTTGTCGAACTTGTCGATTCGAACTTGTCCGCGGGACATGTCCGAGAACGTGTCGCGCGCCATCTCGAGTTTTCAAGAAGAGGGCGGCCCTTCTTTCGACACGACAGTCGAAAGATGAAAGATAACGTAATTATTAATCCAAGTTCTTCAAAACGACAAACAAACGATCGGTAAAATTAAAATAACTAAATAGCCAATTATTAATAAATAATAATTCGCTCGCTTAAATTTAAAGAAACTGAATATCGAACGTCCATTTGTCTATAATTATAATTCATTATCATAATAAAAGTTGTTATTCTTTTGTCTGTCGGGGGGAGGGGGGGAGGAGCATCTTGGAAACGCGTTTCCAAGGAGGTGTAACGATCCCTCGAAACGACAAAAGTGGTGGCGCAAGGAACGAAGGAGAGAAATAGAAAGAGAGGAGAAGAAGAGGGAGAGGGGTGGCACGTGACGAGGAGATCCGACACGTAGTAGGGATTCTTCTCTTTCCAGGTACGCGAAGTTGGACGGTAGCGTGACGCCGCCTGTGGTGCCGTGGAGTTGCTGTCGAATCGACGTGAAGGGCCCCTGCTTTCACGATCCCCTTCAACTCCCGAATCCAGAGCAGAATTCCTCTTACGAGAGCCTTAACCCTCGGGGCTGTCTTGCTCCTATGAAGATTATGGTAAACGGGACCCTCTACTCCGCCGCTCTGATGATCGCGTTTCTGCTCGTGTTGCAGGTATAATCGAATCGATCGAGATTAATCTTGTAGAATTATCTTCCACGCCTGACATTACATACCGAGAAATTGTAGCTCGAGAAATAGCTTCGCTGCGAGACGAACGAATGATCAATTCGCATTCAAAGATCGTTCAAAGATCTCTACGAGTATATATATATATATATGAAAAAGAAAATTTTACGACGTAGAAAAGTATTGGCCAGAAATTTCATCTCGCCGTTCAGATTTGGAATAAATAACTCGAGTGGTTTTCGAAAAATGAGGATGAATTATCGATGATCTCAATTTCAACAGGATAAAAATTCCTTTACGAATATACGCGAAATAATAAACATAATATCGGAGGGTATATTAGGGTTCCATTGGCGCGTGAAAGTGATACGCTATATCCACATCTCTTTCTATTCGATTTAATCCCGTTTCCGATATTCGAGCCCCCGATATCGTCAAGCCGGGGGAATAGTCACGGTTAATTAAACCCACCATCCGAGTTTTTCTCTCATCGCCCGATAAATTAATCCGTTTAATCCCCCATTCCATCCTCGTTACGCCCTTTGTCTCCTTCCGGTGTCGATCCGGGAATTATCCGTCCCACGTTTCCTTTCGATGTATCCGCATATTTCTTTGCGCGGTGGATTCGTGCGCTTTTTCGTTGTACTCTCGCGTCGCATTAAGTTTCGAAATAAAATTCTATCGACGCGACATATTTTGCGCGTACGAAACGATCTTTGAGTGATAGAACGGTCGTTCATTTGAGAAGAGAGGAATAAAATTCTCGATAAAATTACTTAACAATTATTATTGTTGCAAAGTTGAGGTTTGTGCAACTCTCCCTTCCCGTGGAATTTTTCGGGAAAATTCCGCGATTTTTCAGCAACGGAAAACGCTGTTTGAGAACGCTCGCGTCCCGTAAACAAAGTTTCTAAGAGCCATCATCAAGAAAGGCGGGGGGAGGGAGGAACTTTATCGAATTCCCTCCATAAAAAAAGAAAAAGGAAATACGGCAAGGAGCACACGCGTTCTTAGCATTGGTCGGCTTATAGCTCGCCACCACTTGGTTGGCTCAGTGTTTCTCAACCTCCTCTCTTATCGATGAAACGAGAACAACAACCGTTCAAATTTGTTCTCGACGATACGATCTAGTAATACGGCATCTAAAAATCGAAATATTCGTTTTATTTTATTTTTTTTTCTTTTTCTAACTTCTTTTTACCAATTCTTTTCCAGGTGACAGTGAGCGTGTTGTCGAGGTTCGACTTCACGGCGGCGAGGAACGCGGTGGCGCTGGGCGATCGGTGGTCAGGCTCGCCCGGTTGGCTCTTTGGCCGCCTGGATTTCGGCTTGGCCCGTGGACCTAATCTCTGCCAGATCGATCGGGTTAGTGGAGCGGGCGAATCGAATCAATCGAGTCGGGCGAGCGAACCGTGGCCGACTCTGTCGAAAGATCGGGATGACGAGGATATTAATTCGATTTACATATTAGTTTCGAGCAAATTAGAAAAATTCGCCTCCTCGATCGGGGAGGAGAAATTGAAATTTGGAGCCGGTATTCTGCCGGGAATATATAGATTCGAATCGTTGAGCGATGACATTTTTTTTTTTTTTGGAGAGTTCGTTAATCCCGTCCTACTATTGCTGCCAGGTGAAAAGAGTTAGGAGGCAGGTTGGCCAAAGTTTCGACAAGTTTCGCGAGAAATATCCTAGCAGGATTTCGCACCTCTGTCACCTTTTCCCCTCCCCACTAACTTGCTCCACTTGCGCGTATGATTGTGTGCCCGCGCGCCACTCGAGCTTTATTCGTTTAATTTTCTGATTCTCTTCGAGTCGGAACGGGAACGCAGAAAGAAGAAAAGTTTGAAAAGTTTCATTAGCATCGATATTTCTATCGTCAATTTTTTCTTTGAACAAACAGCGTTTTCGGCGCGGTCAGTAATTTTATTTATCAATCGGTGGTCGAAAAAAGTTTTTCGTACAATTTCCTACAGATTAAAGAAAGGTTTCTCGTTTAATTTGCCCCGAAATTTCTCTTGACAGAAGTACAGTGGACAAGGGGACTCGATGATCGATCTTCGCCCGCTCGTGTATTCCAGCGACTCGAATTGAGATCTGGACGTTCCACGCCTCGTCGAAAAAAATTCCTCTTCGAACCCCCTTTAGCTTTTATCGAAATGAGAAGCCGCAACGTCCAAGAACGGACGAAGGAAGAAAGGAGAGTGGAGGAAACGTTAGGATTTAACGAACGAAGCGGGGAGGATTAATCGATCATCGATTACGATACATTGTCCCCGAGGACAACAAACAAGCCGTCCTCCTCCTCGTGGAGAAGAAGAAGGAGGTGGATGCGATAAGATAAGGGGGCCTGTTCGACGTCTGTCGCCAAGATCAGGCCGATACCTTTCACCGTGATTATCCGAGGAATCGGTTAATCGAGTCGCGCCGCTAAATCGCTCGTTTCCTCGCTTCTCTCTCTCTGGGTGGAGGAGAGGGAGAAGGAGAAGAAGGCTTCCGGATCGATCCTGAACAAAAGGAGGCGGAAGGAAGGATCCGGTGTTCTTCTTGGGGAGGGGGGGAAGGAAAGTCTCGACGATGATAAAAGAAGATTCGATCCTCGTGTTTCGGTTATATTGGACGAAGGGAGGGGATGCTGGAGAACAGGTGTAATTACAATCGGAATGGATGAACGAATGGGACGAAGATCGTGGATTTTTTTTTTTTTTTACGTTGAAGAAGTATAAATATTCTCTCGATAAGGGGGTTGCGAAGATTTTGTGATTACCTCCTCTCCCTGGAATTCATTCCAGCTTTTTGCACGAGCGAAAATAGAGGAGAGGGAATGTAAAGTTTCGTTTCAATACTTTTTTTTTTTTCTGATAGCATGGGGATTTGTATTTATTAATAATTTCTAAGTTAAGATCCAATTGTTGGTAAATGTAATAATTTTGCTCGTTTGTAAAAAGATATCTTGTGTTTATTATTCGCAGTTTCGAGGAGAAATTTATGAGAAAATACAGGAGAATACTTTTTTTTCTGATCGACGATAGCATTGGAAATTTATAGAAATTTATTAATAATTTCTGACTTAAGATCTGATTGTTGTTAAATATATAAATAATCGTCGTTGTTAATTTAATTCGTTATAAAAAGATACGGGATACATCTGTGTTTATTATTCTCAGTTTCGACTTGTAGAAAATTGTCCAATTCAAAAATCTAATTTCCAATTCTTCGAGATCAGGTATCAGAAATCGCGCAATGACGACTCGATTTAAACCGTCTGCCTGGTTTAATCGCAAGAAGCGGCGAGGGATCCGTGGAGAATTCTCGGACACGAGGGTGACGAGGGTGCGGTTCTTTCGTCGTGTCACGCGAATAAAAGCGTTTCTTGCGGTCTCTCGAAAGCGCACGATTACGAATGAGGAGGGGATGAAACGTTATAAAACTCGACAAAACGTTGGAGAAGAAATATTCTCCGTGGAACGAAAGAAACAATTTGCAAAATTTTGAATCTTGTTTTTTTCTCCTCCCTTCTTGGACGAAACGATTGTAGGAAAATAAGAAAACTTGCTAATTTCCTCGTGGAGACGAAGTTTCGGATCCAAAAGAAATAGTCGAACGTTCTCTTCTTTTTTCCAATTTTTAATAATGATTTCAGAAATGCCTTGAACAGAGGGGAAACGATCGAAGCTACTTGACCACGGAATATCGATGGTCAGAGCGAACACGTGATATAATAAGTTGCATCGAAACGTTGAAAAGAAGGAATTCCTTTTTGAATCCCTCTTTTTTCCCGTAAAAAAAGAGAAAGGAAGAAAGAAAAAGCGATATTTCGCCCATAAATTATCGGCGAAATTTCTTTTGACGAAATTTAAATTTAAATACGAAACGGCGATTGTTAAATCCGGTAAAAACACAGGCACAGCCCCCTCACTTCGCCCCTGTCGAATTTAATAACGGCGAATTTACGCGGCGGGTCTCCTCGTAGCAAAGCCGTTGCAATTTCCTGCGACAGTGGTAACGAAGTTCTTACGGCCCCCACGTTTTCCCCGTGTCACCGTAAACCGACCGGTTTTACGTGACGTTCGATGTATTAACGCTTATGGAGGAAACGGTGCGCGACCGGGTTGGCTGTGGAAATCGAGAAGCGCGTCTAAGCGTGGGGTTGAAATTATTTCTGGGAGCAAGAAGATTTAAAGATTTCGTCGTTGAATTGAAAAAAAAATCGAGTGTCGTTGGAAGAAAATAGAATTGGAGTGTTGGAAAAAATATTATGGAAATTTTTAATAATTTTTCAATGATTTACCTTTAATTCCACGATTATTTTTTATTTAGCGTGTGATACGTTGTTAGAGGAATCCTCTTTCTCTTTCTCTAACAGGCATTTCTTTTCTCACACACCGTTTTGTACGAAGAAACTTTGTACAATCTCTTTTCTATCGGATAGAAACATTCGCATTCGATTTTCATTCTACTCTTTCACCTTCCCGTTTTTTACCGCTCAATTTTTAAAACTCGCTCTCTCTCTCTCTCTCTCTCTTTATTTTCCATTTCACGCGCAATCTTGGCATCTCGTTTTAAACTTTCTTCCCTTTACTTTATACAATCTTTATATTCCCCTGTTCTCTTTTCTTCCATCCGACTAATTTCAAATTTGAAAAAATACGAAAAAATGCCCGCATCCCCCTCGATCGATGTCAGCGCGCGGATTACATCCCCGTCGAACGACCCGATTCGGGCCGATTTTCTCGAAAATCGAACCCACTCTCGTCCACTCCAAGTTCGTACGTGTACCCGGTTATCCCGGCTGGCCATTGTTTCCGTTCGATTCGATCGAGAAAGCAGTTAGAACGGCCCTCCTCCCCTCCCCCCTTATCCAACGGCGGTGGCTGCACGAGACAGCGGAAGCACTCGAGGAAATCCCGCGTCCGGCGAATCGAATCGATCGGCGAAGAAGAGCGGCCGTCGACCAAACAACCACCTACGACGGCCCCTTCCCCCCACAAATTGAAATTCGATTTTCAGCGTCCCTAATATGAGGAACGCGTTCGATTTTAAAGCGTAAAAATCATTTGATCGGATTTTAAAGCAATTTATTTTCCATCTAATTTTATCGATCTTCCTCAAACGAGTTTAATTTCTCGTGTAAAAAGAGAAAGGAAACGGAACGGATCCTTGTTTAAATTTACCCCATTTTCGTTGGGAATCGACGCTCGTGATGCTTGCCACGATATAATCGAGGGCAGGATATTCTCTCTCTCTGTGTATCTCAACGAGAGAAGTCGAAGGAAGGGACGTGTTAAAGGCTGTTTTCACATTGTCGAGGAACTCTGCGCCCGAGTACTTGCCATGGATAATCAAGTGGAAGGGCCAACCACCGACCGGGTCCATTCCAGATTGCCCCTCGTTCAATTAGCATACATACGATGGCATACGAGTCCGCTTTCTTCCGTGAAAGAGGAGGAAGCGTTAATTGATTCGACGTGTTTCCTCCTTTTCCATTTTATTTCGGATGATCGGTGATAGGATAATTTAAGAATGGATTAATTTCGATTAAACTTTTATATTTTAATATTTCGCGCGTGATCTTTCCGCGTGAAGAGAGAAAATTTCTCGAATATTGAAGTTGTCTCGTGCGATATTTTATTGAGAGCAAAGCTTACAATAACGTGCTCTCTGCGTTCATTTCTATTCATTTTCTTTACACCGCCCTTTTCCTTCTCTTTGTCGTCAATTTCAATAACGAAAGATCAAGCTCATCCTCGCTCGAACTAATCTCATTGCAACGTGTTCCAAAAACTTTGAAAATAACTCGGTCTGATTTGTGATAAAAGAAATGTAACCACTCGACGGTATATTATTCCACGCATCATACGTGAAGGATCTGAATATTTAAAAGGAAACGTAAATAAATATCGTCGCCTGAGAGACATCGTCGAAGAAGAGTTAATTTTTTTTGCCGGATGATAATCGCACTCTCAGCAACGACGGGTTCGAGGAGGATGTCCACGTTAACGCGGCAATTTTCCAAGCGTCCAAGCAAACATTTCGTCCACGAAACTTCCGGCGCCTTTGTCAGCCGAGATACACCGCCGTTCGAAGTTTTCCTACTTCTACCATTTTTCCTCTCCGATGTTTCCTTCCTTGGAATTTCGAAAAGTTTCCATTTCGCCGTTCAACCGTGAAGTAATAAGAACGAGAGGGGGGGGAAGAAATATCCGTCGACTCGGCTTTTCCGGCGGATCTCTCCAGTAATCTTGGCAGGCTAATTTCTGGTCGCCATTTTTGTCGCGAAATGACGAGGCCCGTCGAGTTTAATATTTCGAAGATTATTGTCGTGGAAAATCAAGTTTAAATAAATAAATTTAAACTTGCGAAAATCTAATGTCAATATTATTTATCGATGGAAGCCACAAGATTCGTGATGTTACAATTACTGGATCGTTCCAATTGAATCGTTATAACGTTGAGCGTTGTAAATCAACATCGTATTCAACGCTAAACCTATCGACAGTTCTTGTATTCCTATGCTGAAAAATTTAGTAGACAATGGTCAATTTATTGTTGAATATATAGAAAATGAAGAAAATTTCGTAAAATTTCGTCCAATAATTATTTTTATGCAATTTCAATTATAAACTTAAAAAACTTCATTTTTCCCATATTTATATTTCAATGTATCCAATTAAATACCCTACTTGTTGCTGTGAAATCAGATTTAAAATAACCAATGAGGATGACAGTTTTCAAAAAATCGTATAAAATCGATCAGTAAAGATAAAATTCCAAAATTTTGCATGCAATACTAAAAGATTGATCTCACAAAACAACATATCAACTAGTATGAATACAGGGTTGAAAATTGAAAGTAATGAGCAGGTAAGTCTGAATATTTCTTTTCTTTTTACCCTTTTCAAATTAATAAAAGACGAAAGAACGAACATGAAAGTTCGCGGAAGAAAGGCGGAAGTTAGTGGGCGTGTATCAGCTCGATCCGATTAAGTTTCGTGTAAATTTCCAGCAAGGATCCGTGTATCCATGTCGTATTTCATAACTCGTTGCACGGGGGTTTCTCGTTCCTTTAATTTCCGCCTTCCTCGACGCGATATATTCGCCTCGTCCCGTTGCAAATTCGTCTGGCGGCCAATTACGAAACGATCTCTGGCAGCCGATAAACTTTCCACGCAGCCTTCGATTCGCCAAGTCGAGAACGAATAAGAGAACAGTGAGAGAATAACGGATGAGTAACGGGATCGACGTAAATATGAATTCATCCTCTTCGTGAATTTTGCATTTTTAATGAAAGAATTGAAGATTAAGATTAGAATTAAGCAACGTTCTTAATTTCACTCATCGCCAAAGATGCTTTGTTCGGCGCACGTTGCCAATCAAGATTTTTAGAGTGGCTGTGTTATTAAAATATTTTCAACGAGAATGAAGCAATAAGAATTAATCGAGTCGCCACGATGTCAATCCTTTGAAGCTATGGATCTTCCTCCCTTCAGTTTTCCAGGCTCCATTACTCTTCTTAAAGCTTATCTCGAAACGATGCTCCAGCCAGTTAGAGAGAGATAAAAAAGACGTTGCCCGAAGCACTTTTCTCGTACGGCCACGAAGCGAAGAAAAAATGCTGGAATCCATGAAACGGAAACCACTTCTTCCCTTCTGTGGTTGGCATCTGGCCGACGATGCACGGGAAACAAATCCAGTTGGAGAATCCAGTTCCTCTTCCCCAAAAAAAAACAAAAATCTTGTAATGATATCGTGTAATTGTACACGCAGCAACAGGTATCCGTTGAAAGAAAAAGACAAAAACAAATATGTGTTAATCGATGGATAATATATTTAGATGATTATATATTTAGTCGATCGGATAGAGTCTTGGATATTGTTTTTGAGCCACGCGAGAAAATGACGAGAAGGAAGAAAATTGAGGATGGTGGAGAGGCCTCGATGATAAATAGTGATGACTGTGTTAAAGAAACAATGTTTGGAATCGATGTTTTGTATTTTTACTTTAAAAAAAGTATTTTCAGTATTATTTTGGAGAGGAAAAATTGGGAGAATAAGTTGAGAATTCTCGTTATTTGATTCTTCGAAAAGAATTGTACTAAAAAAAAGAAATGACAATGAGACTCGTCGAAGAAAATCGGAAAAGAGCGGCACGGTGTCGACGACAAGCGAGACTGTACGAAACGGAGGAGGAAAGGGAAGAAATGAGGAAAGAGAAGGCAGACGACATCTGTCGAGTGCCTCTGATCGGTCAATAACGATTTGCCCGGGAATATAAATGTCTCCGCGAGAGCAGTCGTCCAGGTTGTTCGACTCGGCCCGTGTCCGGCATTGCCTTTTAATCTTGTAGCCTCTTTTAATCTCGTTCCGATCGACCGGCTGATTTCCTCTCCACCACCATGCAATTTCTTCTTTCGTATGAAACGGTTGGAATCCTTATCCGGGTGTACTTTGAAAAGTTAACACGTTGATTGGAAATATCTTCGATATGCTATATCGGTAAGAAGATAATTTTGATCTTAAAAGTCGAATAAACTCTATTAAAATTAAGAAAAATTTAGGCTCTTCTAACTCGAAAGATAATCATTTGCAGTCAATGAATAAAAGATCTTTAGAAGCGTGGAACCTTGCCCTTTAAAACGGTTTTTCATTCGTCTCGATACGACTTCCGGTTGCCGAGATATCGTCGTGTAAAGACAAGAGTAATTTTTAATCGTTTATTATCTTCGTCCTCGTCGTTTATTCGGATCTCTCGCTCGCGCCTCGTCTCATTGACCTATTCCAAATTCCAGACAAGTGGCATACACGATTCCTGGAAAAACTGGTAGTACTCATTTCCAAGAAAAAATGTAGGTCACGAGTCCATTCATAACATCTGCGCTACGTGGAAAAATGGAAACTTTGACTCGTTATATCTTGGCAACGGATTGAGATATCGGGATGAATCAAAAATTGATTTCAAAAGCATGGTTTCCTCTGTATCCTGAATAGATTTTAAAGAGGAAATTTTTTATAATTTCTTCTCGCTTATTTTACACGAAATATCGAAGTTTTGTCGATTCTCTCTCGTCACGATATAAAATCAACAAGGATATAATTTAACGTATAATTTTCATAACGTGACACATTTTCTCTCGTATTAATCGAATATTTATATTCCTATTTTAAATAAAATCTTCGCATAAGAAGTGTATTTATGATATATTAATTCTCTGAACGCGTGCATATCGATAAAGATTTCAAGGCTGGCCCTTGAAAGAAACAGATTCGTCTCTCGATTTTCCCTCCGCTGGAAAAATTGTCCCGCGAGGCTTTCATCGAGCGCGGATTTTTTTACATCGAAATCGCTAAACTTTCGGGAAGTGTGACTTTGCTCGCTTTGCCAGCCTCTATGGCTCGGAAATCCACGCCCTTTGACGCCATCCTGAAAAGTTGCCGTCGATCAGGTTTGACGGGCAATCGACACCGATAATCAAAGCTTCGTAGCTTTCTCTCTTCCCCTCCCCGACACAATTTTTACCTCGCACGCGGAGCGGAATAAAATTATTTCGACGAAAAGTTCAATTTCCAGAAAAGAAGGGATATTCGATATCCTTTCGAGATCATTGAAAGATATAATTGGTAATGTCGAATCGATATGATCCAATTTAATCCAATTTCCAAAAATTGAAATCGAATATATATCAAAAAAAAGAAAAAAAAGAAAAAAGGAAAGGGAAAAAAAATACCAAAGATTTGAAAAATTTCGAATAATTTTGGATTAAACGCGGATGGAAAAAAAGGGAGGATTCGTATCGTGCCCCCTATATTTCCGGTTATACTTAAGCTTATCATTGCCCGATTCCACGGGATCACGGGAGATGGATCAGGATATTTAGAGTGGCGCATCAATCTCGCGTCGGGGGCCGCCCATACGGCCCATTCGGTTGCTCGCAAATCCACGTCGTTCCGCCGGCCGGTGCATTAAACGGGGGATTTATATTTCCTCGAATAGGGGGCGATAGGATCGATCGGCCATTGTCGCCTCCAAGTGGCGCCATTTTGCATCTTATCTGCCTCCAATAAAAAAAACTATCCTTCCTGCCCCATCGAGAAGGGGTTGGTTAGTTGCTTCGTGATCGTTGCCGCTTTTGTTGCGCGTTTTCTTCCCCTCCCTTCTCTCCCCAGGGCGAAGATGCAAGGATTTGCGAGATTCTCGACGAGGAAACGGAGATCGATCAACCTTAAAAATAACGAGTTTCTTGGGCAAGAAATAAAATATAAATTGGAAATAATTTTTCATAATTGAAGTCGCGAAAAACTGCTTCCCCCTCCTGGACGCGACCATCGCGAACGTGGCCGCGGAAAAAAAGTGGGCGAGAGTGGAGGATCGAGCGGAGTGGGGACAGACGACGATCGAATGTCTCGTTTGTCAATGGTGGAGGTTTCCCCGGTGGTCGAGGATCGGGACGATTTGGCGTGGCGCTCGACGATATCTACGACAGGCGAAAGGGTAACAGTCGGGCCGCATAAATCGGGTGCACGAGGCCCTCGAGGAGCGCGAAGGAGGAGCCGTCGATAAAATGCTAAATCGGAGAGGAGATAATAAAAATAAAGATAAGCCGCCCCCGGATCCGCACAGAGAGTTCTTGGACGCTGAGTCCACCGACGAGGAGGAGAGGCGTAAGATTTACGAGAAAAATATTAAACTTCTTCCTCGATTCTCTCTTCCTCCTCCATTTTATAAGCCTCGCGCTACTACGATTCCTCTGTATTTTTTTTTCTCTCCTTCTCGTTTTGTCCTTTCTTCTTCTTCTTCTTCTTCTTATTATTATTATTATTATTGTTATGGATGAATCGTTAGAGACGCGTTAGCTTTCTAACCTAATTTATGGATTGTCGAATATAATTTAATAATTTGATTCACTTTTCGTGATGAGTATTTTCGTCGGAATTTCGAGTGTACAACATTTATTGAGCCAATGGAATATGAAAATTATCTCGATTCTCGACCCGTTCTCTCTTACCGTTATTAATTAACCGGTGATGAAAAGGAGCAAATTATATGGCTTCTTAACAAGTTCCTTAATTCCTTTTCGAATCCAAATATTCGTCCGTTCTTTTCTTCGAAACTTTGGTTCATTCTCTTCAAGATATATAGGAACGATTGGAAGGAAATCCTCTCCCATGAAATTCGCAAACGTGAACTCGGGAGATCGATGTCTTGCCGATCGATCGCAAGGCGATACACGTAACAGGGGGTTGAATTATGACGCTCGAGGTGATCCGCTAACCGACGATTAATAGGCCGTTCAATCCGTCCTCGAGTTGCTAATTTGTCTCGAGGTTTACGACAATTCGAGGCCTGAATTCGAGGAGGGGGTTGCGTAAAGTTTCGCAAAGCAGGGTGAACCGATAACGAAAGTGGTGGATATCTGTGGATTATCCGTGGAGAGTTGTCGAGAGGGGTTGAAACTAACCCGCGGACAATTAATGTCACGGGCTGGCTGCGGATGATCGAGGGCGGGCAATTCAGTGGCGAGGGCTCGTCGCAAAATCACCGATGGGATTTAATTTCCTATTAAATTACCCCCGTCGCGTGCCTCTTCGTTATTCGAGGGGAGGGGGGATTTTTAACCGATTGATGATTCTATCCTCGTGATTGGACAATAAAATAGGTATTCTCTTATATTGCTCCCCAAAGATAAAAAGTTCACTTGTTGTTAATCGTGTGATATATTTACCAATAATTCACTATTACATTCGAATATCGGATAATAAGATTATTATTTTTAATTCAACATCCTTCTAAGAGGAATCAGAATTTAAAATTCTCTCTGATCTCATTGTATCTCGTATCAAAATTCCGATTGATTTCTTCTTTTTTCTTTTTTTAAATTAAACGTACTTTAACGACCGGAATAAAATTTGCAAAAACTTGCAAAAGAAAAAAAAACTTGAAATTCAATTACACGGGAAAATCATTCGTTCGAAATCTGCCGTCAAAAATGTTATTTCGAGAAAAAAAAAAGGAGAAAAATCCCCCGTTCCAACTAAAATCGGAACAACGTTGCTCGAGCCCCGGCAGCGGACGCAGGAATGGCGAAATAATTTCGCGGATCGCGCAAAGTGGCCGTAATTACGTCGACAATGGTCGCGCGCGAGTTAATACACGGCCAAGCAAAAATGTTTGCCGCGAATATCCCGGCTTCGATCGGGGGCAGCCTCCATCGAGGGGAGGGGGAAAAAAAGAATTACCTTCGCGTTGAAACGCGTAACGAAATTGTAACGGTTAATCCGCTCGACGAGAATTTTATTGCCCGAATCGCTATTGCCCGACCCACCCCACGATCGATACAATGTTAATGAATTTTAATAAACAGCACGCGAATATTCTCGCGTAATCGCGCTGATAATTGGACAATTTGTCGTGTGTTAACCACGACGATCGAAAAACCAAGCTCTCGTTGTTTGGATTGTAATTTTACGAAACGAGCGGATTTTTCGCCATTTTTCTCGACCGTGTGTTGACGAAGTTTAATAATAATGGTTTTCTTTCGGGATAAAAATAAATAAAAGTTTGAGAAATTTTTTCCCCCTTGAGAATCATTTTCCTCTTGTTGGTTGAGCTCGCTTATGCGAATATTCTCGACGATTTTTGGCGAGGAATTGAGTGAAAATTTGTTTAAAATCGCGCTGAGAATAAATATTCTACGCGAGTCTGGTCAATTATCCGTGTTAACGAATTTCAACAACTCTTTCGGCTTCCCGAAAAAAGGAATTCATCGTTTCGAACAATTTAACTCTCGAAAAAAAAAAACTACCCTCCCTTATATTATTAAATATAAATATCAGAATTGTGGATGGGAAATTCGATTTCGAGCGGGAATTTTGCAAATTCCAAATTCAATTTTCTCAACTGCAACTGTATAAGTCCCTTGATCAATCGATCCTCTCGAAACAAAATTTATAAATTTCTTTCTTCCACTGTAAAATTGATTTTTCAAAACCAACAAATCTTTTCTTTCTTTCTTTTCCACGACGACACGATCCTCCTCGCGCGTGTCGCCACACCGTCATCCCCTCCCTCCCTTTTTCCCTCCCCCGATGAAAAACGCTCGCCTTTCCCGCTCTTCCCGGCCGGCAATACATTTTCCATTATCGCTCGATGCCTCGCGCGCGTATCACGAAATGTTATCGAATGTTGGCGCGCGCGCGCGCGCGCGCGTGGCTTTTTTTCTTTTTTTTTTTAAGCGAAGGAAAAAATGGCCGGGACGCGTGATGTTCGAATTCGCGCGAATTTTTTTTTTTCTTTCTTTTTTTTCTCGCGGGGATTTGCGTGCAACAAAATGGAGAGATCGAATCGAGGAATAAAACGAGAATGAAACAGGAATGGGTGGGTGGAATGTAACTCTGGTTGAAGTGGCTAGTTGATTCTGGTCTGGTCTGATGGTGATTCGTGTTTTCGCATTGATGCATGAATTTGAAAGAACGTTTGATTCTCGGGAGGAAAAGTAATGGAGGAAGGTTGCAATGCGCGAATAGTTTGTAATAGTGACGAGTCGGAATAGAAATTAAAGTAACAAAGTTTTCCAACGAGTAGCTATCGCGTACTTCTTTGATCTCAAATTAATCGTCGATTAATTAATTGAAATCTTAAAAGTTTGAAATTGGATAAAGGAGATGCATCGTGATTACAATTACGATCAAATTTACTCGTAAGAAAGATTGAGCGAGAAAGTTGTTGTTTAAATCCGTCGATAAATTAGAAGTAATGTTGCCCGAAACAACAACCCTGTTAGGACGCAGACCATCATAAAGGTTGTTTTACCACGGCGAGGGACCGGTATTCCAGCTTTTCCGCTCCAACAACAAGTGATAAAAACATTTTGTAAATCTCGGATTTACGAAAGACACATTGTTAAGCGACACACTTAACAATGTTGGAGCAAACAGATCTCTGTCCATCTCCCGTATTTTACTGATGCAAATGACTCCGTCCCTGTTGTTTTACGTGTAACAACACGATTTGCGTGCCAATTAACAACACGCAGAGGAGGGATTACTCGGTCGAGGAAAAAATTTTAATTTCCTGGTAAATCTTCATCTCGAGAATTTTCGATCCATGTATACACGAATCTAAAATTCAAACTCTCCAAATGCCAAACACGAAACTCCTTCGAAGGCAAACTCGGTCGGGCGATCCCTGCTCACTTTTCATCTCATCGATAATAACAATTACACGTGGTTCGCCACGGAAGAAAAGAGTGGCTCCTCGACGCGTTGTTGAAATCCGAGAGGGAAGCGTACAGAATGTGGAAACCACGTGACAATGGCGCAAATCATGAAGAAGCATCGTGAAGAGCTACGTGACGTCCCCTCTCTTGAAAAGATGGAGGATGAGGATGCATCGTTGCTATCTGCATAATGCTCGCCTTATCATAGACCGATAAATTGCAGCAACGTGTCCTCCCGCGGCGCCTCGATCGTCCCCTCCACGTGTTTCCTCTTCCGCCGATTCGCGGTGAGGGTTGGGCCGCGATTTATCGTTCCTGTTAGATTGCCAGCGACGAAACCGAGAGGAATCGGCGAAAAACGGATGGGGAACTCATCAAAGAAATCATGCTTGGGTCGTCTCTCTCTCTCTCTCTCTCTCTTTGCATGTATGGAATCGTTGAATTGTTTCTTTCTAATTTTTGGGGGATAAGGAATAACTGTGGGTTTAGGGCAACAATTATAAATATAAATTGTTATTATATCTTTGGGACGAGTCACAATTGGGTGTTTCTGTTGCAGGGTATGAAGAGGTGGTGGAAGAGGAACTGAGACCGGTTTACGATGACGAGGAATTGATGGAGCTGGTTAGTGGTTCGACTTATAGAGTATAGGTATTCTATCACGCGTGATAGGATGATGATTACGAGTGAGGATGAGAAATACATGGGGATTATGAGGAGAAAATGATGATGTTGAGGATGGCGGCGATGAGGATGAAGATCGTATGGAAGACGATGATGATGATGATGATGATGACGAAGATGATGAGGATGGTGAGAATTATGAGGGCGATAAGAATGATGAGGATGACGATGATGAGGATGACGAGGAAGAGGAACAGGAAGAGGATTAGGATGAGGATGAAGAAGAGAAGGACGATGAACGACGGTGGATAAGTATAGAGAATAATCGTTGTGTACCAAAAAAAAAAAAAAACTGTTATAAATCCAAATTATAATTATACGAACAAACATCCCTTTTGTCCTCCCTCTGTGTGTAAGAATAAATCAAATCGTAAATCGTTAAACGAACGAGCAACATCTCAAAAGTCATTTTCGATCGAAATCATTCATGCTCTGGTGTGTCGATATCTAAGAAAAAAAAAAAGAAAAACAAACAAACCCTTCTTCGATCCCTTTCCTCCCTCAAGATAAACACCGTGAAAGACATGACGACGCTGTCCGGCCTGAAGGAGACTCACTGGACCTACTTCTGCGAAATGACGATCCGTGAATTCTTCCTGAACCCGAACTTCACCATCATGTGCGCCTTCTTCGCTCACAACAGGCTGGTCGTCACCCTCGCCCTGCCCCTGATCCTCGTCGACGAGCTCACCTATTTCATCAGAGAGCCACGGCAGGTGTTGCGCGCTGAAACGTTCAGGAACGACATATTGTTCGGCACCGTGAACGATAGACCGGAATACTACGTGCTGTCCGTGGTCGAGAACGTGTTGGCACCGATCTTTCTCAAGGTCGAGACCTGGCCAGACAGTATCCTCCTCAATTCCCGTTCCAATTCACAAAATTTTCTATCCCCTCGAATATTCGTATCCACAGTTTGGAAAGCTTTTCCTTCTGTAATTTGCTTCTGATTACGAGAATTTATTGATTCAGATTGAAATGGTCGATTGCGGATATACATATACACGAAAACTCGATATATTTTTGATGAAAAATTAATTCGTCGAACTCGTAAAATTTAAAAAAAGAAAAATCGTCCTGCTGTTGCTCGGCTTTAAGCTTTCGACGAGTCTGGCGTGACGACCGGTTACCAAGCGAATTTCGTAACTTCGGCCGTGCAATCCCTGTTACCGCAGCGCGAACTTCCGGCTTCCAGTGTCGGCCAACAGGGATGGGGGGGAGGCAGAAGGAGAACGGCGAAACAGGAAGGGTTAGGACGAAGTTATTATTACCATAATTTTCGGCTAAATGCACCGCTGCAACTCTTGCCTCCTCCTCCTCCTCCGCTACAATTCGACGTCGACGTTTGTGCACACGCACAACACCACGACGTACGCGAGTGAGGAACGATTGCATTCCGTTTGGTCTCCTCATTATTTCTAATGGATCCACGGTTGAACGGTTGATGGACTCTTCCAATCCTGTCCAAAATTGGGAATTGGTGGGAAGTTTTAAATTTTTGCCCTAATTTTAATAAAGGATCAGATTCTTCAGATCATTTGTCCGATGAAAATAACGATTCTTACCACCTTGCGTGTGAGATCATCGATGGTATCTTTGAATTTTCGATCGAGAATTTGTTATATTTGATATATCGATGAAGATTTTCCTTCGTTATGCGTATTATTAAAGTTTGTTGGAACAATTATAAATTTTGAATATCCTTTAGAAGAGTGAAATGTATATGGATACGAAATGCGTATAGCCCGGTTATTTCCTTAACCTGATACACATGCGTGAAGGCGGACTTTTACATGCACATGGACTCGTTCCTGTGCTCCTTGACGGATCTCACGTACAAAATGCAGGGGTTAACGGTGATATACGTGCCGAGGGAGGGTGACGAGCTGGTCGCGGACGAGATGAGCCCCGACAAGGAGATGATCAAGAGGATGGAGGTCGTGGTTGCGTACTGGACCACCCAAGTGAGGATAGCGCTCTCGGATCAGGAACAGGCAACGCCCCTCGAGTTGTTGTGCCTCAAGGACGAATACGACTTTTGGATCTATCGACGTTAGTCATAGAATTTCCAATTTTCAAAAAAAATTAAATTTTCACGCCGTGTGTTTTTTTAAATTCTTCGATTTCGCTTCTTCTTCTTCTTCTTCTTTAAAATTGCTTTTAAAGAAAGATAGAAATTCTCGATACAGACGACAATCTCTGCGGCTTGAACTACCAAGTGCAGAACCCGACGGTGAAAAAGATAACGGATTTCCTGACGTTGAGCCATTCGACCTACGCCCAACAATTCCTGAAGTTAAAGGACGAGATCGAGACGTTCGTGAACGAGGCGATATCGAACATCGAATTCCTTCGAATCCTGGTCGACCCGTCGTCCGATATAGACAAATGCCAAGCGCCGTCCGAGATTCAGCAACACTTGCTTCTCATCATACACCTGATCAGAATTATCTGGCTCAACTCGCCGTTCTACAACACCCAGGAGAGGATCGAGAATCTGTTCAAGGCGCTCAGCAATCAGATAATCATCATCTGTCGGGATTACATAAACTTCGACGAGCTTTTCGCCGGTGAGACGAGAAAGTACATGGAAAAGTTCGACGAGTGCATACAAAGCTGCAAAAATTACATCGGGTTGTACGACCAGGTAACCCTCCCCAATTAACCTATTCTTCTTCCAACCCCTATTCCGACCAGGAAAATTTACCCCTTTCACGTTGCAAACACCCTTTTTCGAGAACCCTCTCCTTCTTATCTCAAATTCTCTCCCCGGGTGCATTGAGCAACTATTAAACAACGTGTGCAGAGTTGGATACTCGGGCAAGAGCCGTTAGGCGGTAATCGCACCATCCCCTCCCCTTTGCCCGGTGGTTCAAATAATAATACTCGCCTGCAATTAATCTTATCTTCCTTTAATCGTTGTACGAGCCTGCAATCGTGCCCTTCATTAATGCCCCCGACTCGATCTGTTAACGGAATAAGAACGAGAATAGGATGGATCGAATAATTCGTCGAATTTTGGAAATTTTCGTCCCTCGAGATGGCGAAGGGGAGGGACGTCGGGTCAAGTTTTCGCGTTAATACTAACCCTCCACCAACTTAGGCGTTTCCCGTGTGGTTAGATAAGCGGGATGAGAATTGCCACGAGCCGTATCCTCGTGGAACGAGGGTGCAAAAGGAGTACGAAATTCCTGGGATATTTTTCCCCGAGAAATTCAGTTTCGGTGAACGAGGGATCCCTTTTTCGGATCTTATTAATTTCGGCCCCAGATTGGCCAGGCTTCTCTGTTTAATTTTTTTTTTTTTAAAATGAAGAAATTATTCTGCGGGAATCCAGTTCGTTGAAAAACGATAAAATACGGTGCCTGCAAGTAATACTGTATTTTCGATATTGCGTGTTTGTGAAAACGAATCGTCGAAAGAGAAAAAAAAAATTTTTTTCCAAATCGACTCGAAGGAAAACCGTTCTGATCGGTCGGCGAGATACGGGAAAATAACAGCATCGCGCGCTCGAACGTTTTTTGAAATTGAATCTGCGAGGTCCGAATGAAATCGCGTCACTTTTATCTCGAAAATTTTAATACGGTGTTTTGGAGAGGCGAGGAAAGGTGAAACGAATAGAGTACACCATCCTGTGGAGGTGGTGACGAACTCTGCTTCTCCTTCGTAAAGCGGCCGATAATACAGAAATAAGTTGTTGTTGGAGGAGATCCATTTAGATTTTCTTAATGTGATGGATAATATCTTGAAACGATTGAATTAATTTCTTCGCGTTACGTATTCTTATCCACGTATTGTCTCTCGTAGAGAAAAACATTTTTTCCAATTAATGTACAATTTTGTAACTTTTTCTCTCCAGATGTTTCGAAAGATAATTAATATAATAAATCAATATCTTTTTTTCAGGCTACTTTGTAAAAAATTTCAGAGTTCTGTAAATTTAATGGATTAATGCAAATTTTAAGAAAGGAATGATTTTTCAGATAGTGCATGCCCATACCACTCTGTTAGGCATGCCGTGGGATTTGAACAAGATCCATATATTCCAGCACATTGATACTTGCATCAGCAGGTGCTACGATATGATTGAGATCTGTCAGGCGATGATCGATTTTGCCAGGTAATCAGTCCACGCCTCTTCATGCCTAATCGTCGATCGACGATTAGAGTTGGATAAAGACAGTGATAAACAGGATGAAATCTCGAGTATTGTATTGTATCATAATTTTCAAAATTAATTTTCTTCTAGATGTTTAATTACGTTAAAAAAGTTATTCACGAATCTTTTTATAATGAAAATTAGACAGACATTTGAAGCGAAATTTCTCTTCTTCGTTTTTAACGATGAAATTTATACGCAGAATGGACGAAACGATGGATATAGCCAAACCTATGTTTGGTGGTACGAGGGGGGAGGAGCGAGAGAGGGTGTGTCAGAAGGTGGAAAGGCTGTTTAAAGAGGCTCTGAAAAAGATCGACGAGAACTCTCACAATATCTTCGACGTACACCACAGCATGTGGAACGACGACATGTTCACCTTTCGAACCGAGATGAAGGATCTGGAAATCATTATCGAGAACCTGGTCACGTCGATCTTCGTCAAGTTAAACAACGTACAGGAGGCGTTGGAGGATTTTCAAAGCTTTTACAGCTATATGAATCGCGACAAGTTGAAAGCGCTGTTTGATTCGAAAACGAGCGAGGTACGAAGTTATCGAAAAATCTATCAAACGTTATAAATCTTCAAATTTTCGATAAATATTCTTTGAACGAGCCGAAAGTTTATTTTTCTTTTTTTTCTTTTTCATCATATTCCGGAAAAATTTAGAACCATGTCCAAATTTTTTCCACCATAATATTCATAAGAATTCTCGATCCACAAGGATTTGGATCACTAAATCCTTCGCCTAAATCCTATCCATTATACGATCAAAACAACTTTTCCTCGACTCGCGGTATAAAAATATAAACAATCGTTTCGAAAACTTTTCCATATTCTTCCTAATTTCTCCCTACGAAAAAATTTCTTTCGACCAAAAAAAAATTCCACAGATATGGAAACTCTTCTGCGACGATATCCAGATAGCGAAGCAAGAGGTGTTGGACGAAATGGAGGAGTATTCCTCGATGACCCCTTATTACGCGGGCAGAGCGTTGAATTTGCGTACGAAGGGCGCCCGTATACAATTGACAAGGGAGATCCTGGAGCACGCGCTCTGGATGCCCTATTGCGGCCTCCGCTACGAGGCCTTCCATCAGCAGGAGTTGCTGCAAAAATCGGTCGAGGATTTCGTCGCCGATTTATACGCGAAATGGATCTACGAGATCGGCGACAATCCCCGTGCCAAGCTCGACCGTTTCCTTATGCGCCGCTGCAACATTACCGAGGGTCTTCTCAGGTGCAACATCGACCCCTCCATTCTGACCTTGTGCCGCGAGGCCGCCTATTGGATCGCGTTGAAATTCATCATCCCTGTCCACGTGCAGATCGTTTTCGACAAATGGGAGACGCTTAATTTCGTCTTCGAGAGCGTTATCGCTGTTGTTATCGGATACAATAAGGTGATCAAAGGTTGGCTTGCCAATTTTATTTTTATGGAACGTTCGTTTCATCCTGTAACCAGGAATAAAAGTGATCAAAAGTTAGCTGCCAATAACGTTGTGTCGTTGAGATATATAGAACGTTCTATATAAAAATCGGGTTATTTCTAGTCAGCCATGTTGAATTCGATCACAGCTCCCTCTACGTTTTCACGCTGATTAAAACGATCCATCGAATAATACGTAACGCTTTCCACGAAAATTTTAAAATGATCCATCGAGTACAGCATTTCGGATAATTCCAAGAGGGCGCGTTATTTGAAAAACCGTTTCCATGCTGCGCGGAATTTTAAAAATAATCTGTGAGATTGTAATCGTAGGAACAAGTGGCAGGTTCGAAAAAGCGCG